TCCGACCAAGTTGTCGGCGTTGCCCAAGCGAGGGCGGGGCCAACACTCCACTCCCGTTTACACTCCCTTGCCGTGCTCACGCTTGGGCCTCCAGCCTACGCGACAGTATTCCGCGGAGAGAACTCGTCCTCTGCGTGCACCCCACACATAGCACGCCATCACCGCACCAGCCATGCTGAAGGGCACGGCACCTACTGCTGCACCTCGTCGTCGCCGTCGCCGACGTCGGCCAGACGAACTTGGCCGATGGCGACAGAGCACCGGTTGAAAGCCGGAAAATGCAGCGCCTTCGTCATGAAATCGGCAGGCTGCTCGGTGGTCGGGATGTACTTCAGCACGAACTTCCCGTGCCTCACCATGTACTACAGCCAGGCGTAGCGCCGCTCCATGTGCTTGAGGTTGCCCGTCAGCCCCATGCCCTCAGCGACAGTGATCGCCGACTTGTTGTCCACGCGAAGGACAGTCGGCTTCCCAGGGTCGAGCAGCTTGAACTCTGCAAGGAGGAAGCGAAGTCGACGCCCCTCCTTGCCGGCGTCCGTGGCCGCGACGTACTCCGACTCGGTCGAGGAGAGCGTCGCGCACTTGATGCGCTGGCTCGACCAGGAGACCGCGGCCCCTCCGAAGACGAACACGTAGCCGCCCGTGCTCGTCCGCTTCTGCTTGTCGCCCGCGTCGTCGGCGTCCACGTAGCCGATCAGCTCCAGTGACTCTGGTCCACCGCCGAACTCCAGGGCGGTGTCGCGGGTGTCAGCGAGGTAGGCGAGGCAGCGGTCGACCTCGCGCCAATGCTGGTCACTCCTCACCATGAGGCCGCTCCCCAGCTTGCTGGATGCGAAGGCGATGTCCGGCCTTGTCGTCGTCGCCGCGAACTGCAACGAGCCGACCTTCTGCCGGTACTCCTCCTCCTCGCGCTCCTGCGCCTCCTCGTCATCAAATGTCAGCTCGGCGTAGGCATCGACCGAGACCGGCGTCTTCGGGATTCGACCGCCCTGCTCCTCATCGATGAAGCGCCTACGCAGCTTGTCGGCGTAGTTCTGCTGGTGCAGCCACAGCTTCCTGGCCGGCCTGTCGCGCACGATCTCCAGCCCAAGGTACTTCACCACCGGCGAGATCTCACGCAGCTCGAAGGCGGCCTCCAGCAGCTCCTTCAGCTCCTTCAGCATCGTGGTGCTGCTGCTGGCGGCGAGCAGGTCGTCGACGTAGACCAGCACCCAGCAGGTCACTCCGTCGTCGCCGGTCTTGAAGTAGAGCGCCTCATCGACCTGGCTTTTCTTCCAACCTGCGCCCAGCAGCACTCCGTCGAGAGCTCTGTACCACAGCAGCGGCGATTGCTTCAGCCCGTAGAGGCTCTTCAGCAGCTTACACACCCGGCTGGTCCCATCGCCGAGCACCCTGCTGGTACATGTAGAGCACCCTGTCGAGCTTGCTCTGCAAGAAAGTGTTCTTCATGTCGAGCTGCATCAGGTTGAGGTCGAGGACGGCGATGATGCTGAGGAAGATCCTCAGCGTGACGTAGCTGCTCACCGGCGAGTACGTCTCGTCGTAGTCGGCACCGTACACCTGCGTGAAGCCCTTCACGACTAGCCTCGCCTTCTCGCTCTCGACTGTGTCGTCGATGCGGTACTTGGTCGTCAGCACCCACCGGTTCTTCATGATGTTCACTCCACGTGGGCGTTCGACCAGCTCCCACGTGCCCATGCCGATGAGGCTGCGAATCTCTTCTTCCATGGCAACCTTCACCGCCTTGCCCTTCCAGCTCGCCAGCGCCTCCTTCACCGTCATCGTGGCGGTGTTCGGGGTAGGCATACACATCGGGGTCGAGCTCCGGCAGTTCTTCATCCTCCTCGGCGTCGTCGTACAGCAGGTCGTCGTCGACCTCGTCGTACACCGTAGTGAAGGCAGCTGGCGGTAGGCAGGCGTGGAAGCTCAGCCGCTCCGGCGGCCGTCGAGCTCGACCGGTGCGTCGCAGCTCAGGCTTCTCGATTGGAACCTCCACCACGTCGCTGTCGGTGGACTCCTCACCCGCCGACTGCTCCCCTTCCTCGTTGACATCTTCGTCGTCGACCAGCTGCTTCGACCCGTCGACCGGCTGCTCATCTGCTGGCGAATTCGACAGCTCCCCTATCGACTGCACGCCTAAAGCTCCTCTGTCTGTTGCTCCCCTGTTGTCGACAGCTTCCGACCCTGAGCGACGAACTTGGCGCCTTGTCGACCACCGGCGATGCCACTGGCCGGCGCCACAGGCGACGCCTCGATGCTCCCCTCATCGCCGGCGGCTGATACAGTCGTCGAGGCAGGCCGATCTGCGACGGGGGAGGGTGGAGCAAGAACAGGGGGGGATGGAGGAACCTCCACAACATGCTCATCGATAGCCTCGTCGACGTCGGTGAGCAGTGGGACCGTCGCCGTCGAGGTGTCCGTCGGCGGGTGTGCCTGCGTCCGCCCCGACGCCGGCCCATGCGTCGCCTTCCACACCTCCAGCGACAGCGTCTCGTAGAAGATGACTCCGACCGACGTGACCACCCGGTTGTTGGTCAGGTCGAGCACCTCCCAGTCCTTACTCTCCGGCGACACGCCCAGGTGAAGCCCCCAGCGAGCCTTCGGTGCCAACTTCCCACCGCGCTGCTGCTCGGGAACCATGAACTGCACCATGCAGCCCCACACCCGTGCCAGCGTGAGATCGGGCTTCTTCCCGGTCAGTAGCTGGTACGGGGTCGTCCCCGGTTGTGTCGTCGACCGCTCCAAGCAGTTGCGCACCCAGACGGCCTGTCGAAGAGCGAGGTGCCACCAGTGGTGCTGCACGCCCATGTGCAGCAGCATCGTCCGCACGGACTCGACGACCGTGCGCATCTCCCGCTCAGCCATGCCGTTCTGCTACGGAGTGTAGGGGCATGTCAGGTCGTGGACGATGCCCTTCCCGTCGACGAAGGTGGTGAAATCCCGTCCGAGGAACTCCCCTCCTCGGTCAGAGCGGAGCGACAGCACCGACTTCTTCGTCTGCCGTTCCACCAGCACCAGCCACTTCGCGACACCGCACTCTCAGGCTCAGCACCCCCAGGCTCAGCACCCCTAGCAGCACCACCCCCAACGGCACCAGAGTCGACAGCAACCGGCTGCAGAGGCGGCGAAGACGGTCGAGGTGGAAAACTAGGAGGGGTCTCCAAGCGTGGTGAGTGGCGGGGGGCCGCCGCGTCGTCAGCAGCAACGTCACCCCCTTCAGCTGGGCTAGATGTGTCGGAAGTGACCTCGAGAGGCTCAGCCAAGGGGAGTGGGTCTACCTGAGACACTCCTGAAGGAGCAGGACCCTGAGGAGGGAGGGGGTCTACCGGTTGGGGACCTGGAGCGAGGAAGAGCGGCGGGGGGGGGAGAGGGGCAGTGTGGTAGGGGAAGAGACGGTAAAAGGGAACCGACTTGCCAAACCTGACGTCCCTAAGAGGTCAGGACACGGCACGAGGTGAGGTTTTAAAATTGCTAGCCAGGCACGTCGCTGGGAAAGCCAAGGAAGACACAGGGAATGGCGTGAGAGGAGAGCTTGTCCGCAGAGGTATCGCGGACAAAGGCACGAGATCCCCAGACTCGGAACACCGACGCATTGCCAACCTCCCCTGTCCAATGCAGTGTCGGCGAGGTCTCCGGCAAAGAGAGACAGAGCCGGAGGTTGAGCTGATGCGCAGCGTACCGGACTGCAAACGGCCACAGAAAATGGGGAGCAGCCGCATGGATCATGGAGGTACGAGCCACCTCCATGACTAAGCCAATGCAGCGCTCAGCAATCCCATTTTGCTGCGGGGAGGCCGGAAGCGTGAACGGCTGGACGATGCCCTCCCCATGACAAAAGTCCCGAAGAAGGTGGGAGGAGAACTCACCACCTCTGTCAGAGTGCAGACGCAGAACACGAAGGTTCCAGTGGAACCGCTCGCGAAGCTGAAGAGTGACAGCGTGGATCCAAGGGATCAATACATCAAGGACCTTCCCCGTGCTGTGCAAGGGGAAGGCCGTGGTGTAACGGGAGAAGTCCTCAACAACCAGCAGAAAGTT